CCCTACCAAATTTACATTTTTTTACATGCTGGTGATCACAAGAGAAGATTACAATTTTGCAAATGGTTTCGGGAAAGTGTTCAAGAAAGCCCCCTTTTTTATATTGAAAAATATTATGGACGGATGAATCTTTATTTACAAATTCTGGTACATTCAAAAGAAAAAAAAATGACATTATTATGCAAAAGAAAATCGTCGTTATTTAATTAGAGAAACCAGACCACAAATAATCTGATTTGGTGATATATTGATATTCTTTGAACAAAGTTTAAAGGATATGTGACAGTCATTTTAATACAATTCCTTGTACTGACCTGTATTGAACTCTACTATACAATTTTTGTGCATCCAGATTTGACATTTAATAGAATAAACAAAAAATAACTTACTGACATATAAAGTGTCAAATTGATTTCCAAGGCAGACTTGATCTTAGGCGAGTTTTTCAAAAAATCAATTTTTTTAGTGAATTTACATAATAATGAATAAAAATTAGGTACCACCGTATAGACTTTTTTTCGCTCTACCTAATAGTATAAAAATTTAAAATGACGGCCATAAGAAAACAAAAACTTGGCTGTTGTACGAAATCAAGAAGGCTTAGAAATTTTCTGAAAACGGCATTTAACTGGCCTAGGTCCAAAATATAGCAAAATAAAATTACACTAAATCACCACAATACACCAAAACACTTTTACTTTTACACTGGACGGGCGTTTCGCTAACCATGTTAGCATCATCAGCAGATGATTATAAACTAAAGTACAATCTACAAGTTGAGCGTTTATATACTCGCCCAATAGGTACCGAGTGGGCGTGGCAAAATCTAACCAACCGAGTCAGAGCCAACTGAGCGTAACAGTTAATTTCCGCCACTAGAGTAGTAGGAACAAAGAACTTGAAGGAATTGGACCGTTGACTCTGTTCATACTATCTTTACATTTATTAATTCTGATGCTTTCATATGCATCTAATTGCCTATAATTTGAGACTTGTTTAATTAATTTTAAATTATTAAGATCTATACAATGTTCTTTATCAACAATATGTTCGGCAACGCAAGATTTATCCGGTCTACCATATCTTATCTGAGCTAAATGTTCTTTAAATCTAGTTAATATTGATCTTCTAGTTTGCCCAACATATTTCTGATTACAATCTTTACAAGAAATTTCATAAATACCCGACCTTTCCAGTGGAGGTGTTTTATCCTTTGGATTACCTAATAATTGTTGTAATTTATTATTAGCACTATACACAAGTTTATAATTGATATTCTTAAAAATTCCTTTTAAACCACGGGATAACTCTCTATCAAACGGTATTGAAAAATATTTAGACGTATCTTTCTCCACTTGAAAAGTCGAATTTTCAGAAATCATTAACCTATACCTACGTTTTCTAATTAATTTATCAACTAGTGAAGGAGAATATCCATTACACTCAGCTACATTCCTAATGTAATCTCTTTCTATTTCATATCTTTCGTTGGAAAGTGCGAAACTAAGTAATCTATGAACTAAGAAATTTAAACTAGCCATTTTATGTTCAACACTATGATGTGATTCATTAGGAATATATCTGCGTGTGGTGGTATTTTTCCTATAGATATCAAATTCCAGGCAATTATTAGTATTTCTAATAACTAATACATCTAGAAATGGTAATCTGTCGTTGTACTCAATTTCATGCGTAAATTTAATTGAAGGAAAACGATTATTTAACTTAGAAATAAAATTATCTATGGTGTCTGAATGTGTGTCAAAAACAGCAAAAATATCATCCACATACCTAAACCATACTCTTGGAAAATACTCAAAGTGATTCTTAGCCTCCACTTCAAACCTGCTCATGAATAAATTAGCCAAAAATGGAGACAATGGATTACCCATTGCTGTACCTTCCCGCTGTTCAAAAGAGTTGTTATTAAATTGAAAACAATTTTGTTTCATACATAACGATGTAAGCTCAATATATTCAATCACAGTTTTGTTGTCGAGACCATTTGCGTTCAGTAATTCCTTCAAGTAGCCTAAAGTATGTGGAATTGGAACACTTGGGAACAACGAAGATACATCAAAGGAGACCAAAATTTCACCTTCATGCAATGTTATATCTTTAATTTTGTTAATGAATTCAATATTATTTTTAACTGAGAAAGAAGGTTCATGATTAGGTAAATTTTCGAACTCCCTTGATAACCATTTTGCCAAATTATAAGTCGGAGAACCTACAGCCGAAACAATTGGGCGCATAGACTTGTCCGGTTTATGAATTTTTGGCAAAGCATACACTTTTGGTAATGAGGGATTGGATACTTGCAATTTCCTCTTTAAAGAAAGATCAATAAGGGTGTTACATTCTTTTAGAGTTTTTTTAACGCCTGCTACCATCTTAGACAAAGGATTCTTTTTCAAATTTATGTAGGGGCCATTATCGATTAAGTTGTTAACCTCATCGTAATAGTCTTTTTTATCTAATATAACAACAATTCTGATGCTTTCATATGCATCTACTATTGGATGCATATGAAAGCATCAGAATTAATAAATGTAAAGATAGTATGAACAGAGTCAACGGTCCAATTCCTTCAAGTTCTTTGTTCCTACTACTCTAGTGGCGGAAATTAACTGTTACGCTCAGTTGGCTAGATTTTGCCACGCCCACTCGGTATCTACTGGGCGAGTATATTAACGCTCAACTTGTAGATTGTACTTTAGTTTATAATCATCTGCTGATGATGCTAACATGGTTAGCGAAACGCGCGTCCAGTGTAAAAGTAAAAGTGTTTTGGTGTATTGTGGTGATTTAGTGTAATTTTATTTTGCTGTGTAACACCAAAGGTTCCAACCCTCAACAAAAATATAAATCTACCAACTTACGTTGCAATAGATGCAATGGTTCTGAAGATATTAAGAATCTAATTAAGATACCGGGGTTTTCTTCCTAGGTGTTTGTCAAACTTCTAATTACGCAACTTTTGTCCCATTTAACCGAATTCGTATCTCTTAGTAGTTTCTGAGATGCCAATGTTGAGCATCGAAATTGTCACCACCCTGTATATCCTGTAAATTTTTAGTCACTTTTTATTCCTAGCGTCCAAATACTGAGATTGTCCAAATTAAATTATTTATTTTTGTTAAAACGTGGACTTATAATATTTTTAACAGAAATGAGTTTAAAAGCCCATACATATGTAATTTTAGAATAAATGTGGGTGCTTATAATTTGCATAATTGATTAAACAGACGTAGACATGACTAAAGTTGAAAAGTTTTGGTTCTTCCCAGCTAAATATTTAATGATAAAATTTTGATATATAATGTACACCCGCAATGTATTGAGGCAGAATTAACAAGTTACACTGACGAATATTGATATTTTAATTAAAAAATTACAATGGAGGAAAAAACAAAATTTTTAGTTTCATTAAGAATGTTAATGATATTTATGGGCATATGGCCATATGGTATAACGACCAGAAATATTATTCTCAGAAGTTTATATGCCTTGTATTCTTATATACCTTTAATATCTTGGGGTACATTATATGTATTACTTGTGCTTGGTCTTATATCAATGTTTATAAACAAAGTCGATACAGTAACATTTTTCTTCAGCTTAGCGGTAAGTTATTTAGTGATTTAATTGACTTATATGGAAAATAATGGGAAAATTGAGAAACGTTTATTAATGAATAAATGGCAATGGGGTCTGTGTGTGTTATTTTCTTTTAAATTTTTTTCTTTTAAAAATTAATTGTCACTCAGATATTTTTTTACTGGTACACCTTCGCTATAGTTTCTATAGAATAACAAACACAAGGCTAAACTGGTTAAAACCGCTAGATATAAAGTAATGCCAAAGTCAGTTAATCTTGTTTGAAACTCTTAATTTGTTTGTGCAGACGATACCGACAATGGCGTCTACAAAAGCAGTTCCGAAATTAGGAGCCCCCGACTAGTGTTGCACAAGAGTCTCGAAAAAGTCTTGCAAGACCAAGACTCTTGCAAGAAATTCAAGACAAGACTTTCAAAATTTCTTGTCTTGAATTTCAAGACAAGACAAGACTTTAATATGCAAGAAATTTCAAGAGTCTTGCTAGATTTCGTGAATTCAAGATTTCACGAAAGTTAGAAATGATACATTTTTTAAGTGATAATTAGGCCTTTGCGCAAGTTATGCCGGGTTTATACAACATTTACATAGTCGTAATCACAATCATAAAAGTTAATCTATCCATTTCTTATAAACCTGTTGACATCTACCATGAACTTTAAAATTATGTTACCCAACTTCACTGATATAAAAATTATGATTATGAAAATGTTCTATAAACGCACATTAAAATTGCTTTGTGATTATGACGATGATTAAGACTGTGATTATGATTACGACTTATGCAAATGTTGTATAAACCCGGCATTAATATTGACCAGAGTTTATTTTTTTTTCTATCAGCCAGTGTTTTAGAGTTGAGAATGCAATAAAATAAAGTCAAGGCAACAAACAGTATATTGGTAATTGGTATTATACACAAAATTATATTGGTATAATGGTAACATAAAAAAACTAATGGTGGGTTCGTGGAGTACGTTATTTGCGCTATTTGGTACTACTTTTCATGCACGAAATTGCTCCGCGAACAAAAGGTAGTATGAAATAGCGCAAATAGTACACTCTAGCATGACCTTACCGTACACCCTGTGTTCAAACTTTTCAAACCAATCTTCTATAATAAAAAAATAAAATAAATAGGGGAGATCGGGGCAAGTTGGCGAAGTAAAATACAAAAGGCTCCAAAACATGAACTAACGGGTTTAAAAAAAAAGATCCCATTTCATCTGTTAGTACATTTATTCAGGTACATAATAAAACATAAAAAACAAAATAAAAGTATACTCTTGAAAAAATATAAAGAAAAAAACAAAAAAGTGCATTTTCGTCAACTTGGCCCAGTACCGGGGTAAGATGACGAGCCTATAGGGGCACGATAACGATTATAAACAAATGTCGCAGGTATATGTGCCATCTTTTTCGTAGGCTGTGCACGACTCGTGCCACCAACTCTCGCACGTGTTACATTGAATCCAGTCTTCTGTAGGAGGCTCAATATAGGATTCCTGGCAGCCAGGACAAAAAATGTCATTAGTTTTCTTCTTCTTTCCTACCTGCTTTTCACGATTTTCTTGAAATACATTTCTCTTGACTTTCACAGAATCAACCTTCCTTCTTTTAATTTCTTTTAAGTTTTTTTCATTGTTTTTTCTTTCCTGTTCTTCTTTGTTGGGTGTTGAGGTGATAACAGAAGCCCTTTGTTTAATTCTTTTGGTAGTTTTTATGGGACGTGTATATTTGGGAAAGGGTCTCATTTCAAGTAGCGTAACTCGACTATCAACATTAGAGATTGTTTGACTGGAGCTGGATGAACTCATAGTGCCAAGAGCTTGTGCTTCATTGTTTTTTGCAGATTTTTTTTGCTGTAGGCCTGAAGGTCCAGGAAGGGACAAATTCATTGACCTTGCCGGCTGATTTTTTTTGGAAAGCAATGGGGGTTCAACATCTGGTGTTTCATAGTTTTTATTCTTTGCAGAATCCATTTTATTCAATCCTGAGGGTCCTGGGAGAATTAAATTCACAAGCTTTTCTGGCTCAGTTTTGTTGAAAACCGCTGGTGGTTTACCATCTTGTATTTCATTGTTTTTTGTTTTGGCTTGATCAATTCTATTTGAGCCTGAAGACCCAGGAACTGCTAGTGGTTCATCGTCACTGCTTAAGAACTCGTTGTCCGCAGTTACGTGCCTCTCACTCACCATAGAAGGCGCAAAATCGGAATCTCCAAAGATTTCAGCATTAAAAGGCTCAATGCCGCAAGCGGAAAAACTTTTTATAGCTGTTCCCACAGTTGCAGCCCTTAGATAAGCTTGCCCGAACAACCTACCAACTTCTTTATCGGTGATTTGTTTTCCCGGGTGGTTTACCAAATAGTTATCACAAGTCTGGCTATAGAAAGTCTTGAGAGGTCCAAAAAACCCAACGTCCAACGGTTGTAGGCGGTGGGTACTGTGCGGGGGTAGTCCCAACATAACCACTCCATTATCCCTACAATAATTGATAGCTTCCAGTGAAGTGTGAGACGAGTGATTGTCAACGATCAACAATACGGGTGTCTCTGTGTTTGGGCGAACAAATTTCACGAAATGTTTAAGGTATAGGACAAAGGCTTCTGTATTCATCCATCCACTGGGTTGAGCTATACCAGCAGAGTTTGGAGGACATCCATTTAAAAGATCTGGTCGCATCCTAACTCTTCCAAAAATAAAAAAGGGTGGAACGTAGCTCCCTTGGGCGTTCATGGCACATACAACGGTGGTGTTTTTTCCACGCTCACCACTAGCAACTTTTGATACTCTCCTAGAACCAGTGGGCGATAAAATCTTTGGCTTTTTATTGGGAACCGTTGATAATCCCGATTCATCTGCATTATAAATGCGGTCAGCAGTAAAATTGTATTTTAATCTAGTTTCTCTAAGTAACTCAAAAAATCTAGTTACTTCAACTTTATTAAATCCGAATAATCGTCCCAGCGAAGTCGACTCTGGGGTCCTAAGACTTATCCTATGTCTACTCATGAACGACTTAAGCCAGTCCGTGCCTGCCAATTTTGTGGTTTTGCAGAACTGATGGTTTATGTTGTTAAGTTCAGCGAATTCGTAGGCTAGTTTTCTAAATTGTACTGATGTAATTCCAAATGCTCTAATACTCAGGTCAGTTAGGTAGGTCACAAACTGAGCTTCCTGAGCATCAGAAAACGTTCTTCTGAATCTCCCACCACTAAGAGGAATTGGTTCGTTGTTATTTTGCTTTTTTATATAACGTCTTAATGTTGCTTCCGGGATTCCATGCTCAATACTGGCAGCATTAACTGACTTATGGTCGTGCAAAATAGAGTGCAACGCGGCAATAAGCACGTCTTCTGACCAAGAGCGTCTATCTGTACGGTGTTTATAAGTTCTTACCATCTAAAAACATCAAAAAATGAATTTAACTAATTTTATACACAGTGGGGCAAGTTGACGAATTCGTCATCTTGCCTCCGTCAACTTGCCCCAGGAAACATTTTTTAGAAAACAGCAAAAATTAAATTATTAATTAAGTGAAATTAGGTTGTATCTTACCTTCTAATATTTAAAATGTCCACAATAATCAAGATTAACTATGAAAGGGGCTTCTATTTTTCTTTAAACCTGCGAAATTGCTTATTTTCTGGAGCTGGATGTTTACATCTAACAGGTGTGAAAAGCGGTTATGATTTTTTAAACCCGATGCAAAACCTATAGCTCCATCTATGTGTAACCCGACGTATTATACACCTAAAGGAATTTATAGAAAAATAAATGGGATTTTTAGGATGTACAGTTTTCTTTAAATCAGTACTTCGTCATCTTGCCCCGTTCGTCATCATGCCCCGACCTCCCCTACCATAAAAAATAAAAGTAACAAATCCTGTTTCGTCAAACGGGCGAGTTGACGTAGTTCGTTTGCGGTCCGTTAAGATTTTTTTTGCTAAAATTAGCATCGTTGTTGCTCATTTTTCTGTACTACATTTTGTATACGACACTTTCTATGAAATAAAATACAGAAATATTATTACCTTTTTATTAGAACGTAAAATTTTTCAACACAAGAAATTTCAAGAGTCTTGCAAGACAAGACTTTGAAAATTTCTTGTCTTGAATTTCAAGACAAGACAAGAAATTGAGAGAGAGAGATTTTCAAGACAAGAATTATTGTCTTGTGCAACACTACCCCCGACCATTCCACTGGTGGAGCACAGTGTCTTACAAGATGGTAGACTATAAATGGGTTCATTAGAAATAACAGCAAACTTGGTATTTTAATAACTGAATGAAAAACAGTATCTTTGTTTTGAATAAAGACAGTCTCCTTAAATTTTTGATCCTTCCATTGTAGTTTGCTGAGCAGAACTCTAGCCTCAGAGCATTGAATTCAGGGTTGTACATTTGAGCAAACATGGCCAGCCATGACTGTAACTTTTTCCCCTTTATTGTGGTATTATAATCTAGGTATTTTACGTCTAATTTCTAGTAGCCTTTTCATTTTTCTATAAAGATTTTCCACACTCACATGGTACCTTATATATATCCATTCATCTGAAGAAGACTTTAAGCACAGAAGCGTAACCTACAGATACGATTATACGAGAGACAAAATATTTTTTGAAACCTCGCCCAAATATCTGGACTACTAAGGGCCTACGTACATCTGCAAAAAACATGCGCTCTTTATCTCACCTAAAAAAATTCTCGGATAGTGTCTTCTTTCACGAGTACGTGAAACTTTACAGGAAAATTTACCATAAGACTATAAAAGCCGCCAAGGACATCTATTACAATAGGAGGTTGACTGAGTCCGGTAATATTGCCAAAGAAACATGGTCGATTGTGAATGACTTGAGGAGTAAGGTTTCTTCGTCCAACATAACCTCAACTTCACCTGAGGACCTAAACAATTACTTTGTAAATGTGGCGAAGAATATAGTGAATACTATCTCACCCTCCCTTGATCCTCTATCATTTCTCTCTGACTATAATGTTAATTTGCACAGTTTCTTCCTTACGCCTGTGGGTTGGCAGAGCTTCGCAATACATTAAATGATATTAAAAATAAATCTTCAGCAGGGACTGACGGACTTACTCTTAAAATGTTCTCTAGTATGCCGGAATGTACATTAAACCATCTTTTCAGCCTTAATTAATATGTCATTTGAAGATGGTGCTTTTCCAAATTGCCTTAAGTCGGCGATAATTATTCCTTTGCATAAAGGAGGTGATAAAGAGCAAGCTTCCAACTATCGTCCAATTGCACTCCTTCCCACGTTATCGAAGATCATGGAGAGACTGGTTAAAAAAGAGGCTTGTACCATTTCTTCTAAAATACAAAATACTCACCCCTTTCAGTTTGGGTTCTTGAGTAACAAATGTACAAATGACGCTATGTTTTCGCTGTTTAATAATGTATACTCCAGTCTGAACAACCGTCTCGTTACAGCAACAATTTTCTGTGATTTCTCGAAAGCTTTCGATTGTGTTAATCATAACATCCTAACTAACAAATTGCAGTACTATGGTATCAGGGGAACGCCTCTTGAATGGTTTAAGTCCTACCTTAACAACAGAAACCAGCGTGTGAGGGTTGATAAGACTGTGTCTTCTTGCAAGCCAATAGAATGCGGAGTACCTCAGGACTCAGTGCTAGGTCCTATTTTGTTTCTGTTGTTTATCAACGATATTGCTAGTCTGGACATCAGTGGTAAAATCTGTCTCTTCGCGGATGATACTTGTTTCACATGGAGCAGCCCGGACACCACGGCACTTCATAGAACCATTTCCAGTGACTTAATCAACATAAAAACATGTTGCGATTCTAATTATCTGTGTCTCAACGTCTCTAAAACTAAAGTCTTATCATATAAAAGTACGTTGCTACCTTTTCAACTTGATAATACCACCATTGACGTCGTTGATTCTGTGAAATTTTTAGGCCTTGTTGTGGACAACTATTTAAAATGGGATTTGCACATCGATGCTTTAGCTAAAAAATTAAGTTCTGCCTGTTTCGCACTTAGATCAGTTGCTAATGTGCTTAATTTGTCAACATCTAGGACAGTCTATTATGCCCTTTTTGAGTCGCATCTCCGATACGCACTTCCATTCTGGAGTGCGTGTTGTGCGACTCAATTTGAGCGTATCTTCAAATTACAAAAGAGAGCTGTGCGATATTCACTGAGGCTAACCAGTCGTGCTCACTGCCGGGACTTGTTTAAAAGATATAAAATATTAACTCTTCCTTCCCTATTCATACTGAATCCGTCTGCCTAGTTCGCAAGCACGTATCGAGTATTTCTCTAGGGCCAGTTCATGACTATCCAATTAGGAACGCAGAGCATAACATGTATCTGCCAACCCCTCACTCTGAGTTAGTAAAGAGTTCCATATTGTACAATGCAAAAAAAAATGCACAATCATCTGCCATCTGAAATTAATTCCATTTCATCCTTTCCTGCATTTCGCAGAGCCTTGAGATCATACTTACTGGAGAAAGCCTTTTACGCGGTTAACGATTTTTTATTAATATCTAGGGTTCTAAATCTAACACACATTCACTAAATTTAAGAAATGATTTTGTTTTCTATCCATTTAAATTTAGTATTGACATTTATATACAGTTGTTTATTTACATGTATGTTTATATTTTATTTATATTTAATTAAATAAATTTTTGACAATGTACAATTTCTATAATTGTATAAAGTATTGTTTTAGTTTTGTATGTTTGCTGTTAGTTTTATATGTTTTTTTATTGTTAAGTGAAGTTTTGTATGTTTTTTATATTCTTTTTTTTTAAGCTTTGTCAACAAAATTGTTTAATTTTTTTATGACAATAAAGCAATTTCTTTCTATCTAGAATTTACCAAAAAGCTATGTAAGCGGTATGTGATTGTTTGTCTTTCTTACTTAAAGACGCAGATTGACAATTTTTTTGAGGGGGTGGTAAAAAACCTTTTATATGCGAGTGGTGTTCGTTCCAATCACCGTTTCGAGAGAGACGATCATAGAGACGAACCCCAAACAGTGTGGGAGTCGAATTGTTACCTACTAAAAAAGTCCACCTCCAAGGAGTCAGCTCGTCCTCACCCCTTACCCGGAACCGCCGTGCCGCATGGCATTACTGGTACATACGTTATTTTATCTATATTTTTTATCTATATTCTATCCTATTTAATTTTAGGATACTTCCGCATTTCTTGCCTTTTCATCTTTTCCTTTCTCTATTATTATTTCTTTCATAAATGCCCCTACCTTTCCCCATATTTCGCTAGTTTTGGTCATTTTCATAATCAAGGTGTCCGAAGTTATCATTCCTACATCCGACAATAAGGCAGACCTTCCGTTTTCCCATCTTGGACAGCAGAACAACGTATGCTCGGCATCGTCGATTTCGTCGGAGTACATGCAGTTGCCATTTGGTATTTTCTTTATTCTGTGCAAGAAGTCCATGAGGACTCCATGCCCGGAAAGAAACTGCCTAATGTAATAGTCCACGTCTCCGTATTTCCTACTTGTCCAGTCCTCCACGTTGTGTATTAACTTTCTAGTCCACCTTCCTTTGTCGGATGTATCCCACTCCTCTTGCCATTTTTTGATAGGTACCTCGTCGTTGCTGTTTTTTCACTTCATCGTTAATCTCTGCTTTGACATATGACTCTTGCTTTTCCTCAGCTGCTAAATGCAGCGGGATCGGCCCAGCTATAACCAACAGGGCATCTCTTGATATCGTACGATACGCTGAACAGATCCTTAGGGCCATTTTTCTCTGTGTGGAAAGCAATATATTTTTCGTCCGTTACCGACCCATACAGGGGCGCCGTATAGAATTATGTTTTGCATTGATACCGCAAGAACTTTTCTTTTTTTTTGAGGAGGGTCCTTTTAAGTTCGGAAGTAGTCCAGATATAGCTTTGACAGTTCTATTTGCTTTTCCGCAAGCATCTTTTACATGTTGACTGTAAGTTAGCCCTCTATCAAGTGTTATTCCGAGGTATTTTACTGTATTAGTTGGTTTAACGTATTTCCGCCGACTTTAAATTGTATACCACCTATCGTTGTTTTTCGGTTTAGAAGAATAGCAGTTGTTTTTTCCGGCGCAACTTCCAACTGCTTTTGATTCATCCACAAGTATATATAATGTAGAGCCTCTTCGGTTTTGCGTACCATTCCTTCGGAGGTTTCAGCTGTGGTTAATACAGCCAGATCATCTGCGTAGCAGATTATTTTTACTTCTTGAGGTACCCTTATTTCTATTACGTCATCGTAAAGGATGTTCCAAAGGGTAGGACCCAAAACCAATCCCTGGGGTACGCCTCCCCCAACCTCTTCTTGGTGGTCTTTATCCAAGTTTACAGTATGTTGTGTAAAATATGATGTTATAATATTTATAAGATATGGGCTGATGTTTCTTCTTGCTAACTTTGACAATATTATAGGCCATGCTGCCATATTAAATGCATTTCTCACATCTACTAGTATCAGCGCCATTTTTCGGGTTTCTCCTTGACGGTCTTTGTTACAAGATCAACTGCATTTATTGTAGTGACTTTTTTTTATGAATCTAAACTTGTTATGGTTAAACCCACCTTTATTTTGTATTTCTTCCATTAATCTATTCTTTATTAAATTTTCATATACTTTGGCGATTGCGTTAATCAAGCAGATTGGACGGTATTTAGTTTCCTCTACCTTAATTTTTTTGGGCTTGTCTATGAGAATTAATTTGGAACTTTTCCAAATATCGAGAAAATAGTTATCATTTAAAAGAGTTGAGAAATAGAGGACGGTTAGCAACCCTACGTTAATCACCGCGATATTAAAGATCTATTGTGTCCCCCGTTCTTGAGCTATAAACTACATGGTTTTCCATCTTCCTGTTGTAGGGGGGACATGTTTATTTACCAACCTCCTTTGACAAAGGCTGTTCATCCTCCTACATCTACCTCCTACGAGGGTATACAGCCTTCCACGGTTGGGGTTTGGCCCTCCGTGTCCTTACAGTTGAGCAGTCTTAAAATAATAGTAGTCTTTTATCTAGCCACGCATCTCTTTGACCTGGTGCCGCCATCGTAGGATTTAGGTTTTTGGTAAGATCGTCCCCTCTTGGCCCGGGCGGTTAAGCCAAGACCCCCCGACACCATCTGCCCGTGATACATGACCACAGACAGTAGACGGTGCCTGGTATGATGGACAAGATAGTCCAATCTGGCATCGCTATACGTCTTGGTGCAATTCCCTGGCCACGACACTACAGCCAAGGACAAGACTAGTGTTGCACAAGAGTCTTGCAAGACCAAGACTCTTGCAAGAAATTCAAGACAAGACTTTCAAAATTTCTTGTCTTGAATTTCAAAACAAGAAAGAAAATATATAAAAAATATGATGTTATAATATTTATAAGATATGGGGTGATGTTTTATGATATAATGTTCTATAAACGCACATTAAAATTACGTTGTGATTATGACGATGATTAAGAATTATTAATTTAATTATGTTACCCAACTTCACTGATATAAAAATTATGATTATGAAAATGTTCTATAAACGCACATTAAAATTGCGTTGTGATTATGACGATAATTAGGACTGTGATTATGATTACGACTTATGCAAATGTATAAACCCGGCATTAATGTTGACCAGTGTTCATTTTTTTCTATCATAGCCAGTGTTTTAGAGTTGAGAATGAAATAAAATAAAGTCGAGGCAACAAACCGTATATTGGTAATTGGTATTATACACAAAATTATATTGGTATAATGGTATTATAAAAAAAACTAACGGTAGTTAAAACTAATGGTGGGTTCGTGTAGCACGCTATTTGCGCTATATGATACTACTTTTCATGCACCAAATTGCTCCGCGAACAAAAAGTTGTATCAAATAGCGAAAATAGTACACTCTAGCATGACCTTTCCGTACACCCTGTGTCCAAACTTTTCCAACCAATCTTCCATAATTAAAAAATAAAATAAATACCATAAAAAATAAAAGTAACAAACGGGTAACCAAAATAGAACATAATTTACGACGATAAACTACGCTTTCTATAAAATAAAATATAGAAATATTATTAACTTTTTGTTAGAATGTAAAATTTTTCAAGACAAGAAATTTCAAGAGTCTTGCAAGACAAGACACGACTTTGCCATTCAAGAAATCTGCAAGACAAGACTTTGAAAATTTCTTGTCTTGAATTTCAAGACAAGACAAGAAATTGATTTTCAAGACAAGAATTCTTGTCTTGTGCAACACTAGACAAGACAGTGAGATGTTCCTTGTACCCAGACAAAGTGCCAGAGGGGATTCCCTGACAAGTTTCCCCACCAACGACAAGGTCTGGCATCTCCTAGAAAAAATTCTGTGCTTTATGGTACTGATATTCTTAAAGAAAGTTTTTTTTGATATTGTTGTAAATGGGTTGATTTCTCTCTATGTCACCTGTAGTACTTTTTGCAAATTAACAATAAAAATATAACTGAGTGAACTATATAATATTGACCTTGCTTTTTTAAGATAGTGTGCCCTGACTCACGAACTGAGTGGTCAATTCATGTACCGGGTGGCCAACTAAGAATGGACGCATCAATCATCAATCAAACCAAACCAAACTAAGGATTATTTTTTTTTATTTCATGTAACGTCATTTAGTTATTAATCCAAGTTCGTCCTTGATTTCACTTGTTTTCGTGTTTAACCTATTGTTTGTGTTATTTATTATTATATTATAAAGTTTATGTCGTTTGTGTCACTTTTAATATAGCACCGAACGAAGGTGCGAATCTTAACAATATGCACTATTGGTTCAAATCTACCCTTGATGCAAGTAGTTTAGCACCAAGACCGTAGGACGGTAAATGTTTACGCAGGAATTCTAGGATGGCGAATGATTAGACTTTTTTAATTATCTGAATGAAATGAACTATCCATAATTTCTAAGAAATGAATTGCCAATTTTGTTAGAGGATCCATCATGATGAAATTGCATTTGTTGCAATTTCATCAGCATGAATGCAGTTGGTGTAGTTGAGGCAGTTGTGCCGCATATTTTGCTATGAATGTGTGGGGCTTCTTGGATACCACTTACTTAGTAGATAGAGACGCTGGAGCGGCATATTTCCATGGCCAGCTGGGTCATCGGATTCAATATGCCTGGGTTTTAATTTATGATTAATAATTAAATGGTATTAGAATGATATTAAAATATGTGTTTAGTACTATAATTTTTAGACCATATAATCCTAAGCGGCAGCCTAACATGATTTGTTCTCTTAATATCTCCGGTTAGAGAGAAGATAGAAAGTTGCGGTTTGAGCTGATATTTTGGAAATTTTGTGCTCTATTTAACTGTGCAAAGAGAAGTATAGCCTCCTATTTAATTTTTTTACGTAAAAGCGCAATATCTGTTATGATGTCAAACAGCGCCCTCTAGCTACCACGAAGAAAATTGTGGAAACAAAATTTATACTGGAGATAATTAAGGAGGAAAAGCTGTTTTAAACGAACCCTAGTTTGTTTAAATCGCGTAACCCAAATCAGAGTTATCCTTATTTTAATAAAAACAAATTTAACCTTCCCCCACCACTTTATTTTATGAGATAGAGCAAAATACTTTATATCAAAAAAATTACAAATATCTCGATAATTACAATAGTAATATTTAAAGTACCTGTTCACCTGCATATTTTTGAGAAAAAACCCCGTTTTCTGATTGGCTCTTAGAGAAACGCCCCCTAGCGGACATTTTTTGAACTTGAAAATACTTTCCAGCGATTTCTCTTGGTCGATTTACTTATTACATTTTTTTCCCAAAGTTATACGATAAGTAGTTTCTGAGATACAGCCGGCGTCCATTCTTAGTTGGCCACCCGGTACCTAGCTGATAGACCTTTACGATGCCAATCATTGCTTCATATTCAAAGATATACAACTAATTAGGCACATAATTGTCCTGTTAGTCATAATCCTAGGACGGTTAGTGATGATGGATGAAATCAGTTCTCAATAATATATATTTCAAAATAAATTTGAAGAAATAATTAAAATTAAAAGTGCAAATCAATTAATATTTTTAGGTATTACTAGACGCGACCAAAATATCAGTACGTTTTCTGATATACTTCAAGAAACGGTTATTTAATTTACTCAAACCAATAATATCCGAAGAAAAGAACATCCTCGAATCCAAAGAGAAAGATGTGATAAAATGTTATTTGAGAGAAATATTTCTGTGGAAATGGATAGTAAGGCACTACATTTTAATTATTTAAGAATAAAGTATAACATAATAATAGTGAAGTGTGTTTTATACGTACGTCTTACTTAATAGTATATTATTGAACGGGCAATTTATGCTAGCCATTATTAAGTCACCCGAGTGAATAAATTGCGAGTTGAATACTATACTTTGTCCACGGTCATTATAATAATTATTATGAGGAGTGTTTGAATTTGTATTTTTAATGTTAATCTTACTACGAATTATTGTATTCATGTTTTAGGGGAAAATGTCACTACCTACATAAAATTTGGCAATTTCAAACGTCAAAATCAACTGAAAACGTCTATATCATTAGTTGCTAGGCATCGAGAGTCACAGTCATCTCGAACTATTCTATTTTCAAATATTTGGGAAGTTTATTATTAAATGTGTTTTACGGTATACCTGTATATTAGTACTTTTTTCTACCACCTTTAGTAAAATAAATTTGTTGAAAAATGAAAAATCGCTATATATATTTGCCAGGATTTTACAAG